GCTTTATTCTTACGTTTTTGCCACTCAGCCATGTATAAGAGTGAATATATGCAAAATTGTTTCTTTGGACTAATCATGAAAACTTTTGCACAACTCGCTTATGTCGAACTTAAAGTGAGAGAGAGAGAGAGAGAGAGAGAGAGAGAGAGAGAGAGAGAGAGAGAGAGAGAGAGAGAGAGAGAGAGAGAGAGAGAGAGAGAGAGAGAGAGAGAGAGAGAGAGAGAGAGAGAGAGAGAGAGAGAGAGAGAGAGAGAGAGAGAGAGAGAGACAGAGAGAGAGAGAGAGTATATGGGAAGCAGATATGTGTATTTGCTGGCCGTCAATATTGTGTTTGAAATGAAAATTGTCTCTGAAAGTGCTTCCAGTTTGAGAGACCTGGGGTAGATAGATAGTCAGATAATAGATAGGCATATAGATAGATAAACGGATCAAGACAAAACATGTAGACGGGTAGATGGAGATATACAGATAAATTCACTGACAAAGTGATTTACAGCCTGCCGAATACTTGGACAGATATATAAATGCACAAGTAGATAGATAGATAGACAGACGACTGTAAATCACATACAAATTTAAGTGTTTTTGTTATATAAACTATTGCGAATGAACTCCATACATGCTTGAAGTATTATTAATTTTATGCATACTTCGACAGCAATAGAGTAAAATTTAAAGGGTACAATTGTTGGCATATATGGTATTATCTTTGCATAAATATTCTGCATGTAACAAGTGTTTTGCTACATACATTTTGAAAACGATATCAACATTGCCTCTTCCTGTGCGAGGTCAACCGGCTGACCTCCGTGACCTGGCGGCAAGCATCCCTGGCAGGACCTGAGAGAGCGAGAGGGAACGCTGCCCCTCGCCACCTTAAATTTCCTGGCTGCCTGACGGAGGCACCACATCGCCCAGGTTCCCCAGCGCCACCAACACCTGCTCCCTCCTGCTCGCCATGGACCGCCGCACCTTCAACCGAGTCGCCTCCAGCCTCGCCAGGGTCCTGCAGGCGCCCTCCTCCTCGCCCTTGGAGGCTCGCCAGGCTCCTCCTTCGAGGGACGTGGTCGTGGTGGCGATCCTCGGCCAGCAGCGGCGCCTTCGTCAGCGTCTGAGCCAGCCAGTGAGTCGCATCGAGGATCTGCCCGAAGCCCTGTGGCGCCCTTGGGAATGACGTGTGTGAATTTTGTAAATAAATTATATATATATTTATAAATACTGGGTTCTAATGATTATATCCTCCTTTTCTTAGAAGCTGTGAACGCAAAGAAATCTCACCATATCAAATAAAATGATCGAATTACATTAGTTTTCAGATGCATGTACGTTCGAAAAGTTACGATGTTGAAGATATTGAAATATAAACTTTTACTTTTCTTACTTTTCATTTTCACACACACACACACACACATATATATATATATAATATATATATATATATATATATATATATATAATATATATATATATATATATATATATATGTCACGGCAAACCGAAGTTTATCATTGTCATCACTTTATCACTGTTATTATTGAAATTATAATTTTTAGTTTATACTGACGTACCTTTCGCCTAACACTCACCGGAATGCTTAAGTCCGCACGTCTTCCGTCTGTGACGTCTCACCTTCACATCCTCTCTCCCTTCCGCCTAACACTATGCGGCATATCTTCAACATTCCACAATAACGTGTATAAAGCTGGGTCGCCTGCGTGCGACAGACAGACAGCCACCACCTCACAGATCGGACTAGACCTCTGTCCAACACCTGTACCGGTCTCCCCACAATAAACTGCAAGCTGTGTACTCTGAGTCTGCTTCTCTAAACGCAAGATCCTGCCTCACGCCAACGACACTCAGTCTGTATGTGCATGTATGTGTGTGTAAAAGCATCAGGAAGTTCTGTGTTTTTGTTTACTTGTGTCACTGTGTGTTTGCATGAATGTGTATGTGCGTGTGTCTGTGTTTGTCTGTTTGTTTGTATGTGTCCGTGTGCGTTTGCATGAATGTGTACCTTCGCATGTGTGCTTATGTTCGTGCGTGTGTAAGTAGGCCGAAAGCAAACCAAAATATTGTCAATTTCAATCTCACTGACTATTTGTTCGTTCATGACACTTCTCATATACAAAGAAATGTCAAGGAATATGGATGTAGTTCTTTTGGGTGTTACTAATCTCGTGAACATTTGAAGATCACATAACTAGTGTCCAAGAAATTTGCCGTAATTTAGATAATGAACTTTTCTTGAATACTTATTTGATTTCCATTTAACTTCCTTTTTTAAATACTTATTTCATTTCATTTCTTTTTTCTTTTTTAATGCTTATGTCATTTCATCTTTTATAATACTTACGTAATTTAATACATTGTTTTTAAAAATACTTATAGTAATTTCATTTTTTTTAAATACTTATGTACTTCCATTTCTTGCTTTTCTTAAATACTTATTTAATTTCATTTCTTGTTTTTTAAATATATTTAATTTCTTGTTTTTTAATTTATTTAATTCGTTTTTAAATACTTATTTAATTTCCTATTAATTCTATTCCCCCAAAATACACAAATCATAACACCCACAATTAAGAACAAACAATAAAAAATCATAACTAAGCGAAGCATTTTATTAATATTGACCAGTTACAATAGATGTATATACACATATTTACACATTATTTACACAAAAAATAAGAATAAAAACAACAAAATACAAGAATCCCACGGAAATGAGTATTAACTAGAACAAAATTTAAATATAAGTGCAAGAATGAAGTCAATAGGACATATCAGTGACATCGAAAGCCATCAAAATGACTTCAACATAAGAGTAGTGTGAAAAAATATGGAGACATAATAAAAAGTATTTTTCTAAGATATAATGAAAGAATATTTGAATTGAATACTGCTATCAAAATTTGCGGTTTACATACACAGTGCACAGCACAGTACAAAGTTTACGAATATATTGATAATGATAATAATGATAATGATAATGATTACAATAATGATACGGATAATACTAACATTAATATAATATAATAAATAATAATAATAATAATATAATAATAATAATGACAATGACAATAACGAAAATGATAATAATACAAATACAAATACAAATACAAACAATAATAATAATAATAATAATAATAATAATAATAATAATAATAATAATAATAATAATAGTAATATTACCAAACATTTCTTTCCATTATTAAGATAGCAAAAGTATATATCTCACTTCAGAAAATTATAACAACTGAGATACTCACACAGAGATCATAAATGAAAACCCTAATTCGTTTTACATGTAATGCTGGAAAATACACTTAAAAGACTAGAAAAGAAATGCAAAGATACATTCCCGATGAAATAGTGCGTCAAGGGAAGACAAAAAAAAAAAAAAAAAAAAAAAAAAAAAAAAAAAAAAAAAAAAAAAAAACGGAATTAAGAGCATTCTACAAGATGAACAAGAACAAGTACAAAAATGCAATTGATCTGCAATGGCATTTTAAGAGTCACGTTCGAAAATGTCATACAACCAAACCTAGGAATTACATGAGAACTTGATATCTGAGAGTGATATAGAAAAATAACATACACACAAAAGATAACAAAAATGACATAAATAGATTCAAACATAGTGCAAGGGGGTTTGGTTCCACAGATCATATTTAAAAAAAAAATACAGTGCAAATGATAGCATAAAAAAACTCCATTTATACAGTTCAGAACATTTAGAATTATATAACATGTAGAATGCCCCTTTGGTCTAACATAGACGATTTTGGATACAGATATATAAATAACTTTTCTTCTCTAATAATGATGTGTAAGAATTTTTTTTCAACAGAGACTCTGAATTTCTTATATTTGGTTTAACTTATTTCAGGAAAGAAGATTAACAGGAAGATGGATTAAAAACATTGGATATTGATGAGTTTAACAGGTGCTGTATACGAGTCCTTCCCGATAACCCCAAAGCGTAAAAGTTATATATATATATATATATATATATATATATATATATATATATATATATATATATATATATATATATATATATATATATATATATATATATAGTATGTATCAACTGATGAAAACAACGCTACGAAAATAAGAAAAAAAATAGTTTAAAATAAAAATCGCTGGAAAGAGAAAAAAAAAAACAGAAAAAGAAAAAAAAAAGAAAAAAAAAGAAAGAAATTAGAAAGAAAAGAAAAGAAAAGAAAAAAAATACAAACCGTACAAACTAACCATAATACTGCAGTAAAATAAAGCTGAATGACTATAAAAGGGATAACTTAACCAACAAGACTTTGGTCGACGCAACTTGAAGTCTCTCGGGATCGACGCCTCGGACGGGTTTATAACTTTTTTTTTGTTTAAATTTGTTTAAATACTTGATTATGCTTTGGAGGGATTAGGTATCCTTAAGGGTTAAGTGTGAATGATATGCTTTGATATGTGTTCATCAAATTTTTTTATTCTGATATTTATCGTGGATCGCTAAACGGCAAAATCTTTTCAATTTCCAAAACAAAGTGGATTTTTTTTTTTCTTTTAATTTGCATCGATTTCTCTAAAGTCATTATTTACTGAACCTGCTTGAAAGTGATCATTCCCCCGAAACGATTCCAAATTGAAGTTTATATAAAAAAAAAGGAATTGAAGATCTAATGATAAGATTTTGTTCATGGTACCTATGCATCCATCCATTTATCTATTTCTTTATCTATTACTATTTCCCCTTCGAGCGCCGTTCCCACAGAGACGTCAGTTGCAAATCAATTGTTTCTATAAACTAATATTTTCTTGAGCAGTGGTATAGGAGGAAAAAAATCATCATTGTGCAATAGAATATGAAGTAAAAGTCCATCTCGTTATATATTGTTGCCAGACTAGAGTGGCCGTATCTCTAGTATATATCTATTTTTATAGATTTTTTTTTTTAATCATTATTATTTTACTCTATCAGAAACAAAGAGATCAACGAAGCTTTCAAAAAGGGAAATCAAATTCATGATTTCACAATTGTCTTTAGAAATAATGAACAATCATAAAAATAATAATTATATAATAATGACAATAATAGTAACGATAAGCAGTCCCACCAACAGATAGAACGGATCCCAAAATCATCGAAATCGAAGGTAAACAACTAACGGCGCTAAAATGGATTCAGGTTTCGGTGCGGTCGGAGGGGACACCAAAATGTCCGGTACATAAATATCTCTCTAAAAGCTTGCGTTGCGTGAATTTCCCTCGAAGCCCCGCAGCCAAGCGAATTTTGGAGAGCAAAGTCATTCGTATTTGATAACCAGTAATATGTATGTCGTATATATATATATATATCATAAAATATCATTCGTTCCTTTTGTAAACAGACCGCCAATGGGACTCTTAATTCGAAGACAAACTCTCTTAATTTCATCGTTAATTCCTGCGCATGTGTTGACGTATATCTTTTTCTCTCACGATTCAGTATAAAGTAATACATATATTCACATAATGCAACGTTTCAGTATACAATAATGCTCAAATTCTCATAAATTTTCATAATGCATTTTACGTCAGGCGAGAGGAGTGGGCGGAGCAACACGACTAAAAATTTTCGGTCTGCTTCGAAAAAAAAAAATGAATCTCCAGTGACGTCACGAGCTCCACCTACGCCCACACTCGGCAGAAGGTCAAGAGCACGACCAGCACGCCCATGGGGATGAGAATGGGCGTCGGGGCACGAGGAGACACGCCGCCCTTTGGTGTGTCTTTCCACGCGGGTTTGGGCGTGGTGGAGGAGGCCTTCTTGGTCCATGGGTTGCGGGTGCCGTTCCACCAGGGCGTGTGGGTGGGCGGGGGCGTGTACGGGCGTGGGGCCATGGCGGCGTCGTTCAGGCAGGGCGCTGGGGAGAAAATGGGCGGTTAGCAAAAAGGTGTTTTGTCTCGCAACTTCTCTATTTTTTTTTAATTCGACATATATAGATCACACGTCGTTATTGATATGAATATCTATGATGGGGTATCATATTAAAAAGAAAGATATATTTCCAAAAAGACGCGGAATAAATGACACGGAAAGTAATCATATAAACAAATTCAGAAAAAAAACTTTCATCATACTAATCCTCCACCCCCCCAAAAAAAAAAATAAATAAATAAGTAAAAAAACAACGAAAAACAATACATGAATAAAAAAAACTACAGACTTAACAACTTAAAAAAGTCCTCCCTCCCCCCAAAAAAAGAAGAAAACATATCACACATCAAAGAAAACGGAAAACCCGCTCTCCCCCCAAACAAATCCCCAAAACCTCACCTTGCTTCACCAACTTCATCCCGTACGACAGCGCCTCCAGCCCCCTCTGGCAGTTGACCCCGGCCTCCATGATGTAGATTTCCCCGTCGCTGACCACCACGCCCGCAAAGCACTCGTAGCCTGCTTGGTCTCGCCGTTCTGTGTAGGTGTAAGTCACCGTGGTCTCGCTCCACTGGCCGAGGCACCTGTACTCGCGTTCTGTAGGGAAGAAGGAGGGTTAGAAAGGAAGGGCAAAGGGTTAGAAGGAAAAGGGTAGGGCTAGAAGGGAATCGAGAGGGTTATAAGGGAAGGGGGAGTGTTATAAGGGAAAGGCAAAGGGTTAGAAGGAAAAGGGTAGGGTTAGAAGGGAAGAGGGAGTGTTATAAGGGAAGGGGGAGTGTTTATAAGGGAAAGGGAAAGGCAAAGGGTTAGAAGGAAAAGGGTAGGGTTAGAAGGGAAGAGGGAGTGTATAAGGAAGGGGGAGTGTTTATAAGGGAAGGGGGAGTGTTATAAGGGAAGGGGAGTGGGGAAAGGCAAAGGGTTAGAAGGAAAAGGGTAGGGTTAGAAGGGAAGAGGGAGTGTTATAAGGGAAGGGGGAGTGTTATAAGGGAAGGGGGAGTGTTATAAGGGAAAGGCAAAGGGTTAGAAGGAAAAGGGTAGGGTTAGAAGGGAAGAGGGAGTGTTATAAGGGAAGGGGGAGTGTTATAAGGGAAGGGGGAGTGTTATAAGGGAAAGGCAAAGGGTTAGAAGGAAAAGGGTAGGGTTAGAAGGGAAGAGGGAGTGTTATAAGGGAAGGGGGAGTGTTATAGGGAAGGGGGAGTGTTATAAGGGAAAGGCAAAGGGTTAGAAGGAAAAGGGTAGGGTTAGAAGGGAAGAGGGAGTGTTATAAGGGAAGGGGGAGTGTTATAAGGGAAGGGGGAGTGTTATAAGGGAAAGGCAAAGGGTTAGAAGGAAAAGGTAGGGTTATAAGGGAAGAGGGAGTGTTATAAGGGAAGGGGGAGTGTTATAAGGGAAGGGGGAGTGTTATAAGGGAAAGGCAAAGGGTTAGAAGGAAAAGGGTAGGGTTATAAGGGAAGAGGGAGTGTTATAAGGGAAGGGGGAGTGTTATAAGTGTTATTGTTTATAAGGGAATGTTATAAGGGAAAGGCAAAGGGTTAGAAGGAAAAGGGTAGGGTTAGAAGGGAAGAGGGAGTGTTATAAGGGAAGGGGGAGTGTTATAAGGGAAAGGCAAAGGTTAGAAGGAAAAGGGTAGGGTTAGAAGGGAAGGGAGTGTTATAGGGAAGGGGGAGTGTATAAGGGAAAGGCAAAGGGTTAGAAGGAAAGGGTAGGGTAGAAGGGAAGAGGGAGTGTTATAAGGGAAGGGGGAGTGTTATAAGGGAAGGGGGAGTGTTATAAGGGAAAGGCAAAGGGTTAGAAGGAAAAGGGTAGGGTTAGAAGGGAAGAGGGAGTGTTATAAGGGAAGGGGAGTGTTATAAGGGAAAGGCAAAGGGTTAGAAGGGTTAGAAGGGGGTAGGGTTAGAAGGGAAGAGGGAGTGTTATAAGGGAAGGGGGAGTGTTATATATAAGGGAAAGGCAAAGGGTTAGAAGGAAAAGGGTAGGGTTAGAAGGGAAGAGGGAGTGTTATAAGGGAAGGGGGAGTGTTATAAGGGAAGGGGGAGTGTTATAAGGGAAAGGCAAAGGGTTAGAAGGAAAAGGGTAGGGTTAGAAGGGAAGAGGGAGTGTTATAAGGGAAGGGGGAGTGTTATAAGGGAAGGGGAGTGTTATAAGGGAAAGGCAAAGGGTTAGAAGGAAAAGGGTAGGGTTAGAAGGGAAGAGGGAGTGTTATAAGGGAAGGGGGAGTGTTATAAGGGAAGGGGGAGTGTTATAAGGGAAAGGCAAAGGGTTAGAAGGAAAAGGGTAGGGTTAGAAGGGAAGAGGGAGTGTTATAAGGGAAGGGGGAGTGTTATAAGGGAAGGGGGAGTGTTATAAGGGAAAGGCAAAGGGTTAGAAGGAAAAGGGTAGGGTTAGAAGGGAAGAGGGAGTGTTATAAGGGAAGGGGAGTGTTATAAGGGAAGGGGGAGTGTTATAAGGGAAAGGCAAAGGGTTAGAAGGAAAAGGGTAGGGTTAGAAGGGAAGAGGGAGTGTTATAAGGGAAGGGGGTTATAAGGGAAGGGGGAGTGTTATAAGGGAAAGGCAAGGGTTAGAAGGAAAAGGGTAGGGTTAGAAGGGAAGAGGGAGTGTTATAAGGGAAGGGGGAGTGTTATAAGGGAAGGGGGAGTGTTATAAGGGAAAGGCAAAGGGTTAGAAGGAAAAGGGTAGGGTTAGA